TTTTTTTTACTAACTGTGGGTTCCTTACACTAACCGGTCTTTAGTTCTGTTCGCATGATCCGGCCACGTCATGCGGTAGTATCACCGGATGTTTGCAGGCGTTACGATCAACATCAAAGGCTTATCGCTCGAAGTCGACGTAGCACGAGGTTGTTTAACAGTTTCCATCTTGAAATTTGCTCACTATTGAGTTTGTTCAGCTGTTCGTCGTCTGAAGCCTCGGATGATGAGGAGGGTAAGCGGTTATCATTGCTGGGATCCAAGTATTGCGGCAGAAAGCCAGATAACGACAACGATCCAGATGATGGTGCCGGTGGTCAAGGTATAGTAGCGAAATTCTCTCCATAGATTTTTGTGAACTGTTCATAATAAAGTACGCAGGAGCATAGTTTAGGCGGAGTGAGTGGAGCTGGAAGCGGAGGGGTCAATGAAGCGGGAGGGTCTGGTATGACCTACTGCAAGCCGAATAGCCATTCGGGTGGAGATTCGGCGCACGAACGTAGGTTAGTGTGTTTAGCAGTTTTTATCTTCTATTCTTTTGATCTCTCGTGAACATTCAGATCTGGTGGGGCTACAGATGCTCCAACTAGTCAACAGCATCTTTTCCCCATACCTGAAATGACCCATTTGGATAATGATAATGGAGATCGACTTCGAGCCAAGCTTCTGCATCGGTTGGTTTAGGTTCTACAAAAATTGAATGTAATCATGGACAACATGTTTTAGATCCCATACAGCCGAGCGGATAGCTCGTAACTGGGCTACGGTTTTTGCCCATAGTTACGTTCGTGAGATCTCCTGCTTTGGGACTCCTCCTCGCGATATGGACTTATTTCCTACTGATACGAAACGAAATGGTGTTAGTGGTTGGATTCATAGTTTGAAGAGGACACGGTCTGACGACAGAATACCACAGGTGTGCATATTAGCATTGATATCTCATTCGCTGTGTAGGTGTACTTTATTTTATGCGTATAGACTGAATGCGTGGATGCTGAAAGCCTGGGCGACTCGGTTTTCGATGCCCCTATGGACTCAGCTGATTCATCAAGAGGAGCTGAAATAGATCGGGAAAGCGATTCTGGCTGTTCCAGTGAAAGAGCAGCAAAGAATGCTGCTAAAGAAGATACTTTGAAGGTTAGGCTGGAATTAGTGCTTATTATGTTGAAGTTTTCAAAAGGCTCTTTAATCCAATCTTTTTTCTTCTTATTGTTTAAAACCTGGTCAGGCTGCTTAGGCAATAAGAAGGAAAACGTAGTTGAATAAAATAGTGTTTGGTGTTTCGGTTGAAATTACCTTATATGTTAATAGCTTCTATGTTCTTTCATAATTTGAGAAATTTGATACGAACTTGGTGCAATTTCAAAATATATTAACTTTGACTTTGCATAGCAAAGGTCTCTAACATAAGTAAGATAGGTTGCACTTTAAGGCTGCTTCATGTATACCTGTCTGATCAATAAATCTATGAAGAAACTTCATTATAATCTTTAATAACGAAAATATCTTTGTAAGATCTGGTTGGTTGCCCTATCGCTGAAACTGTCGTACCTACAAATTATCAAAAGTATCATAGTGTGTCTTCAACCACACCTTCAGACAGTTTTCGCA